AAAAAAAAAAAAAAAAAAAAAAAAAAGATTTAACTTCTTTATGTAAACTAAGGAAATCAGAAGCTTAGCTATTTTATATTCTAAAAACAAGATATATCTCAAGAAGTTGCATATATTTCTATCTAATGAAAAAGCAAATCAAAACTGGAGACTGATTCAGCTGTACAATTAAAACTATTTGGAGAAATGTTACCTATTCCAATTAATGTTACAGATGAGCACTTATGAGAGCATTATGACTTATATGAAAGTATTTCTTCTTCTAGAGTCATCAAACACTTCAACACACCAAGATATACAGCACAATTTCAAAATATATTCCAAATATTGTACTGTAGCATTTAAATACTATTACAATTTAGAGTACGACTTTAATTTCTTATGCGTGGTGTGAGTCACTTATTATCCCTCCACTGCTATAGCACTGGTCTGGAACTACTATATTTCAGTCTAGATGCTGCTCACTGTTGCTCTCAGAATAGACTATCATTTCCCTTCAGTGACACGCTCAAGAGGACCTCAAGGGACTGATATTAACAGTATACACCTAATGGTAGAGGCATACACCCCAAAGTATCAGGTACAGGGAGCTGTTTTTCATGAGTGTCGTTATAAGATATGATAAAATTTACAGTGACAGCACCTGCCAAGCACCATCCAACAGAAAGGCAGATTTGTAAAAACATTACATGTCTTCATCCACCTTATTTACTGATCTGGCACTGTGTGACCTCTGGCTCTAAGTCAAAGTCAAAATGACCATGAATGATAAATGTTTTGAACTGATTCAAGACACTGAGGCAGCCACTATAGTGTAGCTAAAGACATTCATGAAAGTGGTCTTCCAAACTTGCTTCAGAAAGAGGCAGTAATGATGGGATAAGCGTATTTGAAGTGAGGAGGAGATTTTTGAGAGGGATTGATGGTGAGATGACTTTTACTGTACTAAATTTTTAATATCTAAATATTCACTGTATTTTATCACACCTCATATACCATTTTAATAATTGTTTCAAATATAATTGATTTCTTTTGTAATATTATTTTCTGCATATTAAAATGTCCAGAGAAGAATTTCAAATGCTTTACTGGACTGCTGAAAAGTCTTAAGACATAAATGATAAACAATAGTAATAAATGCTGCTCGATAATGAAAATTAGAAACCACTGTACTTCTTGATTTTAAAAGTGCTTCCTAATTATACCTAGAGTATCTCAACTGTTAAAAAGGACTATGCTCTTAAGAATTCAAATTTCCCTAAAGTATACATTTATCTTAGATCTATACAGATTTTATATTCAATTTCTTAATTCACATTTCTATTTATTAGATTAGGCTAAATTTAGACTCCATGCTTACTATATTGACAGAGGTTCTCAAACAACAATCATTCATAGTGCTCCCTAAAAATAGAGATACATGAGGACCCCCCACACACACACACATGTAATGAGTCAGTAAGTCTGGAGTAGAGCTCAGAAACCTGCATTTTAAAAAATGAACATACAATTTGATAATGAAAAGTGAAAAAAGTTCCTTGTGGTTAATGCTCTTAGGAATCATGATTGCTAATATCTCTTATACCCTTCTTTAATGCATTGTCCTCCCTTGATGTGAAGACTTATAAACTCTCTACCTCCTACCATCTAACAGTCACCTTATCCACTCCTCTTGACTTTTTCTTTTCTTTTCCCACAATCAGTTTGCGGATATTTTATTTTAGAAATGAATTCAGTTGCCTTAGTCATTTAGTATCTTAATGCAAATATCGCACAGCATTAACAAGTCTTTAAAAAAAAAAAAAAGCACACACATAGTCCATTCCTGAATGACCAAGGTAATCTTTCAAATCTTTATATGGTGTTTTGCTGGGTTTACTTTTACTACAATTAATGAAAATTAATTCCTTACATTTGTGTCACACTTGACATGTGATCATATCTAGCTGATACCTAACAACCAATTTAAATATTTATTATTCACCTAGAATATAGGTTTTACGTTTCCATAAGTTCCTTCTAGGAAACAATAATAGCGCATGCTCATCTGGATGCCCACTAAGAATTTTAAGCACCTCCACCTACCTGCTCATCACCATTGGTGGCATGCCCAGATTGTTCTGTGCCATCACTTTATTTATGCCTTTAAGGGCCACCATTTTGGCTTTCATTATAGGATCTGTAATTGCATCAAAATCTGAAGAGAAAATATATTTTAAAGTTACTTATTTCATCACACTTGGTTCAAGGTACACTAAGTGGTTTATGTAAGGATCACAAACAATTTACAAACTCTTAAGACTTCATTATTCAATAATTATTACAAGCTTCTATACTACTAAGGGAATCATCAGATGGTAACAACCTTATCCTGAATTTGATTTCAGTAACTGAAGCAGGCCTTATAATTCTGTCTTGCAATAATTAAAACAAAAAGTATCCCTTTCACTCAAGCTTATCCGATGCTGATCAGAATAGTTTCTTTAGCAATGTAACAGCAGACAGAAGTGAGAGAATCTGCAGTTATTCTCAATTCTAAGGAATTCCACTAAATTAGTTATCACTCTTTAAAGAAAAAATGTACCAATTTCTTGAGGGTATACCCTCAGAAGAAGGGTAATGAGAGGCTACAGAAAAACTATCTTGGCATATTAATGAAAAAAAATCAGTATTGTAAAAGTGGTAATATACAGATGATTTATTTGACTGAGAAAAGAGAGCGCTCTTCAGACATGTGCCTTCTGATTGTTAACTCCTATATTCAGAGGCATTGAGGAGTACTGACTGCACTGCTTTTGTTGTTTTTAAAATCTGTACACCATGGAAAAAAGAGGCTTGCATGGGAAAAAACGCCAAGTATTTGCTATACACAAAATGACAGTAAGAAGCTTTACTTCTTTCACAATTTTCTTGAATTTATCTTTCCATAACTGAAAATACACAGCAACAAATGGTTGGCAGATAGAACTAAAATGAAGGTTCTTCTAATTTCTATCAAAGGATAGATAACACAACGAATGGAATTGAAATGTTTCTGCAACTTAAAAGTTTTGAATCTCCTGATTTACCTAGAAGGAATTTAAAACTCGGTTTAAAGTTCCAGGAGGAACAAAACTATACTATTAATTCTTTATTCCAAACATATTTTCAATAATGAACTCTTATAAGCATACTGCATATCACCATGAGGGCCACAGTACTCTTATTAGAGACCCAAGGAATTCCTACCAATATTGGGGAAGAATGGTTCTGATCGCTGACGAATCATGGCTTGCATCTGTCTTTGTTGCTGCTGTTCTTGTCTTTCTTGATCCAAAAGATCTTGTAGCAGCAGTGGCTGCTCTTCTAGAAGGAGGGGCCTTTCTCTATTCTGCTGGGCTACTGTCTGAGGAATCATCAATTGCTGGGGTCCAGATATGCCACTGGTACCAGGCTGACTTGTGAGAGGCACACTTTGAGTTGTAGGCTTTCCTGTTCCCAAATTGTGGTTAACTGTTGACTGTCCCTGAATGAATCCTGGATTTACCTGAACACCCTGAGAAAAAGTATGATTTACCCTAGGGGCCACTGTGACATTAGAATTCATAGCATTATCCAAAACAGGGTTAGGTGGTGCCATTAAAGTAGAAGGCAAACTCGACACATGGCTGGACGGTGAGGCTGGCAGAGTTGATGAGGGAGAGCCCAAGGGCCTAATATCTGAACTGTCAGGTTTTTCATTGGCAAGTAAACTTGAGAGGACTGGAGTTGATCCTGCTATATCACAGTTCACATCCTGAGCAGGCAGTGGAGTGGATCCTTGAATGACATTTGCACTAGAGCCAGCAGTTTCTCGATTAGCTCTTTTCTCAAGCAAGTCTGGATCAGATGGTGGCAAGGAACCCTTTTCCCCATCACTGAGGTCTGTGTGAGCAGAAGCCTGCGAGCATGGAGCATCAACATCATCTATATTCTCATCACTTTTCTCAATTTCACATGTGGCTTCCTCTTTAGAATTTGGAGACAGGACTTCTGTTTTTATCTCATTGGTAACAGTGGATTTTTTCTGTGGCAAATGGTTCTCAGAGAGAACCACAATTTTGTCTTCTTGGCCCTTTTTTTTGGGTTCAACAGCTACACAATGATTATCTAACTTATCATCAATTGGAACACTAAGGTCTAGTTCCTCATTAAACATGCTTTTCTTATCTCCTAGGTCAAGTTCTGGATCTGTGTATGCAATGATATCAAACTCTCCTGACCTTAAGAGATCATCCAGGTTAGGGTCATTAGTTTCCAAATTATCTAACGTATCCAATTCATCTCCCTTGCCATCCTCTGTATCTAAATTTAAATTTTCAAGATCTTCATCATCCAAGTCTTTTACTTCAACTCCCTCAAGGTCTTTAACATCCAGTTCTTTCACAGAAGGGTCATCAGAATCAAGTTTTCCTTCCAGACCATCAGAGGACTGGCTGGTTATCTGTAAATTATCGGATGCTGTTTCGGCTGGTGCAGATGTTGACAAAGATGCCTCAGAAAATCCACTACCTAAGGGATGACTCCTATGCCTCATGACCACAGAAGATGGGTGGAGAGGATGCCCTTGCTCTTGCTGAGACGGTGGTGCTTGTTCCAAATTTGGATGTACAGGAAGCTGACTAGGTAGACCCTGGGGAGGCCGTCTCATTGGGTCTGTGTGCCTCGGGCCTTGAAAGTCTGGCCGGGAAATGAAGTTTCCATGTCTTGGATGAGAAGGTACCTCTATAACATTGCCAGGAGTAGTAGGGAAAGGCAACCGTGGCCTTCCATCAGGGGTCCTGTGCCTCAGTTCAATAAATGCTTGGCCCAGTATGTTATGCTGCTGAACTGGCAGACTCTGTGGTGGAAAGTGCTGAGGAAGTCCAACTGGATTACTCATCTGTGAGTTATTTAAAGGTCTAGGCATTTCTACAGATATTGATCTTCTCAGATGTGGAGGGATTCCAGATCCTTGTATTTGCTGAGAAGGCACAAGGAAGCGGTCCTGACCTGACATAGTACCATGACTACTTCCTGGAAATCCAAATCTAAAAACAAAAAAATAGTAAGTAATGCTGAATTGAGAATGAAGTTGAGAAAGGGAAAATGACCATAAATAAAAAATTATAGTTCCGAATACAAGAATTAGACAAGAGCAAAGGAACAGCCTTTGGAATCAACTGCCTAAAAATAAGTACAAAACTACTAGAGTTTAGATTAAGCTTAGATTAAGGGTCCCATCTCTTTTTTCCTGTATTTAGGGACCCTGTAAGGAGCAGGCTAATTTGGGAAATGCTTCAACGAAAAGGAATACTCAATCTCAGTATGTGAGAATACAAAGGCACAAGTGTGGTGACTGTATAGATTACTTGCTTAAAGCAATGAGGACAGCTTATTAGCAGAGATAAAGAAGGGTAAGCATCATCTATCTATAAATGGACATAAATGCATTATAGAATGATGATTATTTACATATCTCATTCTATAATTACAGGCAACTTACAAAGAAATATACTAATATAGAAGAAATGTAGAGAAAGGGAAAATAAGGTTAAGAATATAATGTAAAAAGACACAGGTTTAAGATTAAATCACATACCTTTTAAAGAGCATATTTTAAAGGATTCTTTCATTATAGTTAAAGAGTAAATTTGGCTCTGACCTTTCTACTAGCCATTTCAAAAAAGGAAATAGGGTCATAATACATCACTGCTAACTTTACCACTCAATCTCATGCTGAAAAGCCCCAGAAAGGGAAACATGCTTTCAGTTTGGAAGTCTCCACAAATGCTTTAAAACTGAGACAGCAAAATTCTGAGAGAAGTCAATTTTCACTGTGACAGGAGGCTATGACTCCTGTGACAGCTCCATTCTGGAGGATGAGGCTCCATGCATAGGATAAATTACATCATTATGGCAGGAAGGAATACAGCTAACACTTAATAACAGAAGGTTTAATTTTATAGTTCTTAGAAGCAGAAAAAAAGTCCATGACCTATCATTAGCAGAAAATAGCATTAATTATATCTCAGGAGGAAGAAGTACAAAACAATAACAACTTTTTCATTAACTATCTGTCAGTTCTAACAGCAACTTAAACCTGGCCAGAAATGAAAAGCATTACCTAAATCCATGCGGTCTCATACCCATACTAGCAACATCAGGAGGATAGGGACCACGCTGATCTTTGGGAAAAACGGCATATCTAGGTCCAAGAGGATGGACCATGGGTGATCGGATGTTCCCAGGATAAGGAGGCGGAGGTCGAGTGAAGGCCTGGCCAATGCTCTCTGGCTGCCAATGTGGACGGGGCACTGGGTGAGGCACTGCTGATATGTCCTGAGGTCCCTTCTCCTGCCGACTAGCAATCTTCTTCTGCTGCTGCTGCTGGAGAATGATTTCTCGTAGTTTCTGTCGCTGCGTGGAAAGAACAAAAGTCAATGATTTTTGATTACTGATGGTTTTTAAAATTCTAATTAGTTCATTATATAGCTATAGTAATATTTAAAATGTCTAAACCATTCAAAGTTTGATAAAATTCTTATTACATTTAACATGTTCACAATGACAGTGGGGCTCTAATTCCTATGTCTTCCTTCTCGGCAGCTCTGAACCACTGGTGGTACTTGCATGACTCTTTCATAGGGAGACACAGGAAATCCCATCAAGCTGCCCTGTGGCACAGTCATGCATGTACCACTGGTGGTTTGCACTGCTGGAAACATGTTAACTACTTGATAAATTATTTTAAAAAATAAACAGATGATCTGAGTCCTTTTCTTTGGCATACGATGATAATGAAACCAAGAGCTTTTAGGATTCCCAACAATTTTAAGACTAGAATTAGATAAATATTAAATCTAACTCAACTAGTATTAATTTTTACCAATTTTATTTCTTCACTATTTGATTAAATGAATAGCTTCTACAAAAACTACACTTAAAGCATCTGAAAATAAGCACTTTGTTCACCTGTCTCAGTTTCTCTGTATCTGCTTGGGACATATTCACAGTGTTCTGGGTGTCAGTTCCTCCTGAAGTTGGCACAGGCCCGGGAACCTGGGGCACACTGGAGAACTGTGGGCCCTGGGAACTCATGGGAGAGTTTGCAGAGGTGTTAAAGCTGCCCTCTGGAGCAGGCCCTGGCTGCTCAGGAATATCACGAGTAATTTGACTGCTTCCAAAAGAGTCAGACTGAGATCTTGGAGTCATTGGAGTTTGATCATAGGGATCACGAGCAGCAGATGGGGAAACATGGCTGAATGTGTCCGAAAGGCCAGGCCCAGGTGGCTTAGGTGCCTGGGAGCACATATCAGGTGGCCTCACCAAAGAGCCAGGTAAAGCAGGAGCTCGTTGCTGTGCTGCTTGCAGGAAAGGGTCCTGGTTTGGCATGAGGGCCGGTCTTGCACTTGACATCCTAGTAAAACCCTCTGAAATTCTTGGCCTTGGTGTTGCTGGTGGTTGAGAATAGGGAATAGAAATTCCAGGTCTTGGTGTCCCAGGAGGATGAACATATGGATCAGAATGTCTCTGATTAGCCGTAGATGTAGCAAACATGTCTGCCTGTGTAGAAGGCCTGGGAGTTGGAGGCTGCTGACTGTATGGATCGATAGTGGTAGGCCGGGGAGTTCCAGGAGGCTGGGAATAGGGATCTGGATTGGATCGAGTTGTTCCTGAAGGCTGAGAATAAGAATCTACCATAGGTCGTGGTGTTCCCGGAGGCTGGGAATATGGGTCCTGAGATGCTGATCTTGACATAGTGCTAGGTTGAGAAAAAGCCCTTGAAGAATGGGCAAAAGATTCATTCACTGCTGGATGTGGGGTGAGGGGAGGCTGACCATATGGATCATTTGACTGACTATGAGAAAAATTATCCACAGGTCTTGGTGTTAAGGCAGGCCGTTCATAAGGGTCAGCAGACAATCGTCTTGATGCCTGTGACAATGATCCATAAGGATCCTGAGAAGATGGTGGAGGGTGCAATGGGGTCTTAAAAGGTCCAGGGACATTATCGGCAGGGGCAGGCGTCAACAAGGGTCTTGCATATGGGTCAGTTATCCGCTGTCTTTGAAAAGCATCTCCCCTAGGAGATGGTTTAGTAAAGTGATCACTGGTTCCAGTTGCTAGAGAACCTTTTGCAGTTTGTTCTGAAACCACAGGAGAGCAGGACAGGCCCAGAGGTTTGGGAAACTGATCTGTCATCATAGGCCTAGGTGTATCTGGAGGCTTTGCATAGGGGTCACTATTTGTTGTGGAGGAAGAACTTAAGTCTCTGCCCGGGGATGGCCGGCTGGATGCTGTCTCACTAATCTGAATGGGCCTTGGTAATGATGATAAAGGCACACAGTTTTCCACTGGAGCAACAGGATTTCTTCTGGAAAAACTATGGCCCCCAGGAGGGGGTCTAGGGGTACCAACCATTTTTGCATAAGGATCGACTGGAGATGGAGGTCGGGAGTTAGAAGATCCAGGTGAAAACATTTGTGGAGAATGTGGTTGAGACATTTGAGACTGAGAAAGGCCATCCTGAAGGGGAACTCGGGATGGGGTAGGAGGAGGGGGTGGAGCCTGTGGCTTGACAAACACATCATCCGAAGGTGTGGAAGCAGGGGTGCTGGGTAGCTGTTTAGAGAATAGGTCTTTATGCAATGTCTGAGCAGGAGACATATTTCCATTGGCAGGCTGAGGTGTCAAGGGACTTTGTACCCCACTACTTGGAGTATCTGAACCAGATGGCACAAGAAGGTGCTGAGAACCAAGCTGCTGATGCTGTTGCTGCTGCTGTTGCTGCTGCTGCTGCTGCTGCTGCTGCTGTTGCTGCTCATTTTTCACCTGTTCTAGCTTTTGTGTAGCTTCTATTTTAGCTTGCTGCTTGCTTTTCTGACGCATTTGCTATGAAAGTATGAAAGAAAAAGTAATTGTATGGTTAACAAAGAAAAAAACTATCACGTGGGGGAAGTCAACAAAAAATTAATTTTGTTTGATTGATGTCAGCAGCTACCAGATTGCTTTCATATTAATTATAAATTTCTCAAAAAGAGCAGTCATTATTCATAATAGTATGAACCATTTATGCTCAGGGCAGTATATCGTTCATAATATTTCAATCAACTTTTCAAACCAACTTAAAAACGTTTCATTAAAAAAAGGAAACAAGTCTACTGTAAGTCACTTTTTCATGTTCTATGAAGAGCTATATTATGAAATGACATAAATACCCACTTCTCAAAAAGCAAAAATGCAATTTAAAAGAGAAAACCCATTGCAAAAAACTTCATACTTGTCTAAATTTCCATTCTTGTTCATGTTCCGATTCTCTTTGCTTTAATGGATCTTTAAAAAGATCTGAATCCATACGAGAGCTGGGATCAATGCTGTCTTGCTGCTGCTGCCTTTTCAGGGAATCATTTGACATCTGGACTTTATTAATGCGTAAAGCAGCTCTGTTATCTCTGGCCTTTTGCTTTGACAAAAAGAGAAAAAAATTAACAGTATATTTTAATATGTTTTAAGAATCAAAATAGAACTATGGTGCACTTTGTCATATAAGAGTAAGAAAAAGGCTAGTTTAAATAATTGAAAATATTTGAAATACTATTGGTTAGAACTTACACCCTCTCATAATCAACAATCTGGACACTTGTCCATGTCCTTTCGGCATATGTCCAGTCACTGATGATGCTTCTATCTACTGAAAATGTTTCTGTATATCTGAAGTGGCCTATGAGATCTCAGGTATAATCTTGTTTTTTCCCATGGCAAACTTCATTTTTCCTCCCCTCATCTTTTAAATTTTTTTATAACAAAACATTTATTGGTACATTTTAGGCATACATAACACTCATCACAGGGAATTTGCACCTGTACATGGTAAATCCCACCTCTTTTTTTCCCTTTCCCCATCCCCTAAAGCACCCTCCCCTCTCTCCCTAGGCATAATCTTAATTTTTAAATTCTAATTCTCTTAATACATAAAAAGAATTAAAATACTCAATTTAGAGAAAATGACAATATTACATCAATCCTCAAGATAATAAACTGGACATCTGAAATTTACAATTAACGAAAAATCATTGAGAAACATTAAAAATATCCCACGTTACTTTACTAGGTTCATGGTAAAATAAAACAGTATATTGATACATAAACATTTTATTTATATATATAATATATATATAAAAACACATACAAAGGATCCTCAAAATATTATGAATGTTTACATTTTCAAAAACTTATTACAGTAAAATACACATTGCCAAGAATGCAGGAGAGTATTTTGAGTACTCTCAGGGGAAATAATAGCAATGTATATTTTGCTGCAACAACTATTTTTAAACATTTATTGTATCTTTTGCTCACAACTCCAATATATGCTCTCTCTCTGCTTTAACCAAAGTAATCATTGTAACTAAAAAATACAATGGAAATTAAGCGGAAAATAACTACATAATTCTCAAAAAAAAAAAAAAAGTGGATTTAGTGTACAGTGAACCCTTGAGTTACGACAGGCCTGATAATAAAAACAACCTGGGTTAGGACCGGAATTTTAGTTTTAACTTATGAGCAAAGTCTTGAGTTATGACCCACTTGTGCTTCCAGATGGTCTCAGATACAGATTTAACCCTTAAGGAGTTCTGGAAGAAACATTACAACGTCCTTTCTTGTGTGGGGTTAAAAGAAATCTTGGGCCAATGTCCAAGGACACTGAGATCTGCTTGTATATAGGAGAGACTTTGAAGCCTGTGTAGAGGAGCCTGAGCCTTGAATTGCCCAACCTGAATTACAACCAGCCCTTGAGAACCCAATTGGGTTTATAAGTCAAGGGTCCATTATAATTTAAAATGAAAGCAAGAATTTGATTCTGACAATCTTAATTTCTATTTGGAAAAAAATAATTCACCACCTGAACTGTGAATTTTACAAAATTCCTAGTAATTCTTAGCTATCTCATGTTTTAAAAGCTCCTTAAAGGCATCCAGATATGTCTCTTTCAAGATTTATAAAGATTCTTTACTAAATCTAACAATAACAACAACAACAACAACAAAATTTATTGTGGAAGAAACTGAGGTATTTTAATCCATTGTCCAAATTTAGTCATCTTTGCTGAAAAGATAAAACAACCTAAAGTGAAATTAATCATGGTCCAAAAACTGATTTCAATACTCATTATTCTGGTTTGTTAAATAGCCTATAAAAATATAACATTCTGTATCAAGATAGCCAGACATTGGCCGGGTGTGGTGGCGCATGCCTGTAATGCCAGCATTTGGGAGGCTGAGGCAGGAGGATCGCTTTGAGTTCGAGACCAGCCTGGGCTACATAGTGAGTTCCAGGTCAGTCAACTACATAGTATTGTCCAAATTTAGTCATCTTTGCTGAAAAGATAAAACAACCTAAAGTGAAATTAATCATGGTCCAAAAACTGATTTCAATACTCATTATTCTGGTTTGTTAAATAGCCTATAAAAATATAACATTCTGTATCAAGATAGCCAGACATTGGCCGGGTGTGGTGGCGCATGCCTGTAATGCCAGCATTTGGGAGGCTGAGGCAGGAGGATCGCTTTGAGTTCGAGACCAGCCTGGGCTACATAGTGAGTTCCAGGTCAGTCTCAACTACATAGTGAGACTCTGTCTCAAAAAACCAAAAAACAAAACAAAACAAGATAGTAAGACATCACTATGTAAAGCTACCTGTTAGTTGTACAAATATTTACTAGCATTTTCCACAAATAGAAAAATCTTTTAGTTAGCCTAAGACAATAAAAAATAAGGTTGAAACAATGTGTCTGAAGATTTAACAAATAATTGTTTTAAGTACCACATATGGTGCTCTTTCCTGAGAGCTTGCTTTTCTCCACAATTTAGCAATTTGTTTTACTCGAGTAGTCCAATCTGCAAGAAAAGAATACATAGGCTTTCTTAGGCATGGTACCAATACAACAATAAATACTGATGAATTGTGCCACTTATTTTTTGAAAAGAGCTTATTTTCATGATGTAGTATAGGCTGAGCCTAATGGGGAAACCAGAAATCTGAAACGGTCCGAAATTCACAACTCTTTACATACAAGCAGTCACCACAAGTGGAAAACTCCATACCTGACCTTGTATGAGAAGTCACACAGAAAAGCAGGTACATTTCAAATGTGATGGGAGGGAAAGGGGACCAAAAAAAAAGTTGTGATGTGCTGTGTACATGTACAAACTCCTCATGATAAATGTAATCATTATGTATTGCAACTGGTCCTAGTAAAATAAATTTTAAAATATTATATAAAATAACCTTCAGGTTATGTGTATGAGGTATAAATGAAACATAAAATGAATTTCTTAGTGGGGATCTCATCCCAAAGATGTCCCTGAGATAATTTCCTTAATTTGTATGTATATGCAAAATTCCAAACCCTGAAAAACTCCTGATTCCACCAAATGGTTCAGATCAGGGAGCCTCAGCTAGCACAGCAGTTACATTAAGTGGTTTAAATAGCACAATGGTTCCAACCACATAAGAGGCTGAAAATTTTCTGAATAAAGTGTTGTCTTATTAACAATATGGCTTGTAGAGCTAGGAAACTTTAAATTTGAGAAGTAAATCACCAAAACAATTTAAGCCACATATAAGAAATCCCCATTAACTATAGGAGATACTGCTACAATCCAAGATTTTGTGAACAATCTGCATTAAACAGAAGTCCATCAATTTGACCTCAAGGAAATAATCACAGTATCTTACCACCAGTGTGTACAACAAAACAGGGAAAAATAATGATTTCAAATTGTTTTCACAAGATTTAGCATCATGACACTATACAGTTTCCAAAACGTCAGTGAAAATGAAAATCAAATGACAGACCAACAGCTTTAACATAGTATTTCATAAGGTGCTTGAACCACAAAGTAAAATTATTCAAGAAAACTGTACATATATAAAATTATATGTATGTTTTTGCTACAATGACAATTTATGCCAACACAAAATGACAAGATAATCCTATCTGCTCACCTATACATAATAAATAATAAATACGTGGCTAAAGAAAAGCAGTTGAGAAAGGCAACCCATTCAGGACCCCTCCTGTCTCTCAGGAGCTACTCTTATTCCCCATTCCTATTCCCCAATAAATTTTCCTACTCTAAAAAAAAGAAAGAAAGAAAAAAGAAAAGCAGTTGAAGAATAGGAACAATGCTTTTAACAGGATTTCTATTACTAGGTAAGTTAGCATCTGATTTACTTCTACACATAATGAAAAAAGTAACCAAGGAGATAACACAAAAAGGTACCAAAAATCAAGGGAAATCCATATACAAGCCTATTTGTAGGAATACCTCTAATATTTGAAAAGAGCTTCTGTATTGACAAAGGGATGGAAAACTACTGCAAGCTGAATTTTAATAGAATTTTAATCCTGGTTTGTCTGATAACATCAATTTGAAGCAACAAAATAATATTATTTGCAAATATTCAATAACTAGCAATTTATTAATCTAAAACTGTCATTCTCTGGTTAATTAGAATTTAAAAAATACTGCTATTCCATTTTGTGCTGTTTTCATACATGTACTGGAGACAGCTCAATGTCAGGGCAGAAAGGGGGAAGAAGAGAGGACAGAGTCAGTTCCAATGCCAATCACTTAGAACTGACTCTGATTTAGCTTTGTCATTTAAATGATAGTTTCTGTTCTGGGTATTTTTTAAAGTATTTATTACTTGAAATAACGTTTTAGGGAACATGCAAGTGGGGCCTAAAGCTAAGAAAATGCAAAATGTGCCTACATAGAGAGAGAATCTTCATTTTGTGGAAAGTCAGATCAAGTGATAGTGAAGTTTTTAAAACATCAAGTCATTACACATGAGAGAATGGAAGTACAATACATAGGTAACAGTTGGGCATGATGGTCACCTATAATCCCAGCACCTGGGAGGGAGGAGGATCACCTCTAGTTAAGAGATCAGCCTGTACTGCACAGTGAGTTCAAGGCTGACCTGAACTATAGACCAAAACCTCATTTCAAACAACAAAACCCCCCAAAACAGATACTAATACATCCATGACTTACCAGGGAATTCATCCTTTAAATTGGGAAAATTAATGTTTGTGTAAAGAACTGGTGCTACAGTTGCCATTTCACCCAGAGCCTCCTCTTTCTCCCACTTCAGTGTGCTCCTCTGGGCATTTGACATTGTATCATTTTCTCCTTCCACCGTGGGAACTGATGGCGTCCATGAGCTGTTGGGATCACTTGCTATTGGATTGAATGCTGGATTTTTATCCCTGGCAAAAAATGAAAACTGTCACTTCCTAAACAAAAATAACTTTCTCATACTATGCTCAAGTACCACTTTCATTAAAATTTATTACAAACAAAGTAGCTAAAAGTAACATTTGACTTTTTTTTTAGCAAAGACTGTAAGTATACACTAATAATTTAAAAGACAGAACAAAAATTAGGAAAAAATTAAGTCAGTATAAATTAAGGCTTTTAAATACCTGGCATCAGTATAATGGGATTGTGCTATAGCCGAGAATGTTCCCAATCCACTTCCAGGAGGCAAAGAATTATGTGGGAGATGAGGACTGGGTCCAATGAGGCCATTCATAAGTGGCATTCGTGAAAAAACATCTTAAGAGAACAAAGAGAGTACATCAGTTTGCATACTGATAAAAATAACAAAAAGATGAAATACTTCTAAATAAAAATTTATAATACTATTTAAAAGTAGAACTGTTTTCAGTATTGTACTTTATAAAAATACTTAAAGGGTGCCTTGATTATGAATTTTGAAATGTGGTCTCTAGATCTGCTTTACCTACAATGTAGAGGAAATAATTTTGGAATACAACAGCCTAGAGTCTAAATCTTAATTTGAACCGATTTCCATGGGATCTTGTAATATGAAGGTATTGTTATGTGGGTTGAGATAACATGTATATAACACTACACATACTCCCAAATATACTAACTTTACAAAAAGAATTAATCAGATTTTTTGGTAATTTTCATAACTGGCAGTTCAGCCTTAAAAGCTTTTTAAAATCTACTTCAACTTTTATGAGCTTTAAATACCTTCTCATTTTCTTTCTAGATATATGTTAGGCAAAGGGTAAGATCATTTTTCCACAACCTTTTCAAGTGTGTAGGTCCAATACTCACTGTGATCATCTAACTGTCTAAACTACTTGGATATAAACTGTCCTTACTGAAGCAGCTTTCCAGGGGGGAAAAAACCAAAATAACACTCATAGAAACTGTGCACTTTCAAAGAACTGTCCCTTTTAAACATAATGAATTATGAAGACATACTCCCAACAGCTAACTTACAACTTAGATTAGTGCTATTGCAGAAGATTCCTATCACCAACTGAAGATACAAGGCAGTACAGGTATAGAGTGTGAGCTGTACTTGGGATAATGGTTGAGAATGTCTAATTCAATAACTTTGCTATAGCACTGGATAAAAAGAAAAATTAAGGTGCATGTTGCATACATGTGATGTTTCCCAATGTCTAATATGCTTTCCTGTAATCACATCATCCAAATGTTATAAGAGGAATGTGCACATGGCTCCAGTACCTATGTGAGGGAAGTGAAGTTGATCGCAGATACATTTTCAAGGTTTTGTCATAAGGACCTCCAAGATAAGTCTCATCCTACTAAATATCAGAGCTGGACACACTAGATTAGGATTTCACAATGACAAATTTCTCATTACATGTAGATATCCTAGAAGTATTATTGGGTAAGGTTTCTGTTGCCATCTTTGGGGAGGGGAATTACTGGCGATTGACCCCAAGGCCACTGCTATAACTGAACTGCATCCCCAGACACTTCCACCCCCTTTTAAAACAGGATCTCACTAAGTCACTAATTGGCCACACTAGGCTCAAACTTGGAATCCTCTTGCCTCAGTCTCCAGGTGTGCTGAGATTACAGGCATGCATCAAATTTGGCAAGATTTCTGCATTTATTCAAAAAACAATGCGACATCTATTTTCAACTTCAGGGATAAGTAAGTTCCATTAAAGAATCTGAGGTTTTAGTGAAAAATACCAAATGGTTTTTGTGTAATTAGGGCAAATGGAAGCTTTTTCATTTGGCAAAAAAAGCATGACCTGTCCTGGAGCTATCAGCACTGCCTATTGTAACCATATTATTATTGAAACTTTTTCCTAATGACAGTAACTATTAAGTACTACTTTACCATGTGTCAAGCATTGTTCTTAAAGCTTTATACTCATTAACGTTGTATATTCAAAATAGCCCAATAAAATAACTCACTAAGAAAAAAGACCCAGACAAGTTAAATACCATGTTCAAGGACAGAGAAGTGACATGTAAAGCACCTTTCCTTCATTATTAATTTAATTAAGAGGTAGTCTTTTTTTTTTTCTTCAAGCCTATCATAGTCACCCAATTAGTTGTATCAGTTTAGACATGCAATATTTTTAAGGCATGTCTCATGGTGAGAATTAAAATATTACTTCACTCAACTCACTTAAAGGGATATCACATTACTCTATCTCAATCTTCATGGAATTTCCCCTCTGCTTTCTGACCTGTGTGTGAGCGTCAATACACCACATTCAGTCCTCTGTTGTCACTCCTGCTAGAGTTACTCCTCCAAGGGTTGCCAACAACTTCAACTGTCTACTGAGACAAACCCTTCCAAATACTGTACTCATTCATCCACTTAACTTTGCAATCTGTCTCTAACGGCCACCAATTCCAAGAACCTCTCACTCAATGTCTCAGGCACTATGTTTTCAACTTTTACCTAACCTTTATGTGGGGGATAAAGACTATGGAATCACAAACCTAACATAAAGCAGATGAGCCAAGCACAATTTCATTACGTTTGGCTAAAAAAGAAGTTACTTAAGATTCTCTACCACTACAGATATATTCTCTAGAAGAAAAAAAAAATCTCATCCTTCCCACATTAACACCATTACAAAGATTCCTACATTATTCCTACATTTTCATCTACAGCCTTGACTAACTGCAACTTCATGTAAGTCACAACCGGTTGTATGTCCCATTTCTACCAAGTTAAAGCCAGTCTAAAACTAAATTCATTGTATCTCCACTTCCTTCTATTAAGGCACATACCAAGCCTTCCACTGTTCCATGTTTCTAGTTTACAGCATAATTATTCTCCAGGCCAGCTTGGCTTTATGTAATTCATTTTATTTTACCTATTCTCCTCTTCCCTTACATTCACTCAGTAGCATTATCCTACTTACTCTTACTTCACTATCTCTCATATCTATTCTTCCCTTTTGATTAGCACTGCAGTATCGTTACATATAATCTACATTCTAACTTAATTCTAGGTACAAAAACTCATTATTACAATTCTTTTCCAAAATCCATCTCTAATATTGACCACAAAGCTACCTTGCCACAAGACATAACTGATCAGGTCATTTTATTGGCACGGGGTATCCAATGGCTTGTAGAAGCTTAGAGGAAAAGGCTAAATGCTTACATCATTTCCCTTAGATGTCTATAATCTATTGCCAATATCTATTTCCAGTTTGCCCCTTCAAACACTGCCTTCTCATCTATACCTTCTTTACCCTCGAAAATGGTGAAGTTGCCATTCTTAAATACTTTAGTGTCATCCTACATATAACTTCATCATGTTAAAATAGAACTACTTAAATAGAATTACTTTTCTATAAAATGTAAACACTGAAATCTTAGCAATTCTCCCCACCTAAATATTTTCTATCTGTAGATGGTTCAATATACACATGTGGAACCCACAGACACAGTGCTGACTACATATGCACACGTGTATACACACAAAGATAAGATATTCTTAAGGTTCCACTTGCCTAAGTCAGTTATATAAATCAAAGTTGTATAAATCAAAGTCTAGAATACTATGATTATAACTTTGTGATGGTAAGAAGCCTTATTAGTCATTTTGTACTGTAAATTTAGCATCTAGCCAAAAAAAGTCATCTCAAAAACTTTAAGTGAGGCCAACTATGACGATACACTCCTATGAAATCTGTACTCCAGAGGCTGAGGCAGGAGGGTCAACGTGAGATTAAAGTCAGCATGGGCTACAAAAGTGCACTACATAGGAAGATTCTGTCTCAAAAAAACCAAAAAGTGAAGGGGGTGGGAGGACACACAGTAAAGTGATTTTCAGAATGACTAAAAGCTTTAAGGAATACTTTAACCAATTTGGTCTCTAAAATATGTAATTTTAGTTACAGAAAACATGAAGATAAACCACTTTTATTTGCTGAAGAATTTTTAATCATTAAAAAAGGATGTGGGAACAATTAAGACAAGGAACATTTATGGTATGTGTTTTCACCAAATGTTTAGTCTAACAACCATAAAACTGAATTTTACATTTAGTGGCAAAACTGGCAGAAAATCAAACATTTCAATTATATGCATTTTGACATTTTTTGTGCACATAAAACTTGTAGTAAAGAGGGCCAGGGATTTAGCTCAGTGGTTCTGCCACCTACCTCTCAAGTACAAGGGCCTGAGTTCCATCTCTGGTACCAAAACTAGTAGTAAAGATATGTTATCTGAATATTTAATCACTTAAAAGATGAGACTTTATAAAGACATTGCTGTTCAATTCAGCAAATAGTCATAAAGCCATGACAATGAGATATAGAGAAATGCTTTTATGCTGAAATTACCTAAAATATATGTCACCATAGGATTACAAACTCCATTCTAGAGAAGATTCACTATTTGCAGCTCTCAATCTATACCTTCAGATCTTAATACTAGGCTATGAAATTTCAGCTCGCCACGACAGGAAAAAATTGAAGCCTTAAACCTATGTTGCAACTAGTCACAAGCAGGTAGAAGAAAAATGATCAAATGAAAATGTCCACAAAATTCCATGGGACTTGGTCAATGATTTATTCTGCATTTATGTAGTAAATACAAAGCGAGGTGCGAGACACAGGAGCCTAGTTTAAGGAGCTCCTAATCTATAAGGAAGTCCTCAATTGCCCCAAACATACTGGTATTTGTGGCCCGTGTTACAAATAAAAGCATGCAGGGTAGGCATGAGATTTGACTGCCTAACCTCCAAGGAAATGACAGTGAAATAGATCAGATCACTGAGTGAAAGGCAGCCAGGGGACTGTGAGGCATGGTGCTACAACACAGCAGTCACCATGTAGAAATGACCACACGGCCAAAGTAGGTGGAGATGGGACTAGGGCAAGGGGGAGATCAGGTACACAGAACACTGCTGGTCATAAGGTGAACAGCAAGTTGCAGGGAATTTCAGGGAAGCTAGTATTTTTCCAACATCACAAGCAAAGTGTCCCCTAATCATCTGTTTAAGTGGCGATTATAGGTGTTGAAGAACAAGGCGAAATATTCATATATGCACACGTGTCTGTGTCTGTAATATACAACACTTGGAAAAGCTGTAACATACCCTGATTGTGTATTGGCAACAGCTGAGGGGGAGGGGGTGGTTGTGGTAATGGAGCTGGCTGGGTGTTCACGGGACTAAGGACAGCAGTAAATAAGTCTTCAACATCCTTTCCTCCAAGCTCTATAAGGGAAAACAAGAATAGTAATAAGATTAAAAGACTATTAGGGTCACGGTAGGGATAATATTTTTACAGACTAAATATTCATAACATAAATACCTGGAATTTTATATAACTTGCCAAGAATGGCTCCTAGGACAAAAGAAACAAATATTAACAACTACCAATTCAACATATTGATAAAAAAGCACTTGATAAAGAAATTGTGAAAACAGAAGTCAAATCATAAATAAGCATGCAGAAATCTTTGAAAGTCATATTTACTCATGTCTTTTAGAAAGCCTAGATGTAGGGCAAATATTTTACCATCTGTGACCATTTTGTCTAGTTCAGGACTGAGGATCCCATCGAGCTGCTCTTCAGTTAATGGTCGTAAGCTCTGACTGACACTTGGCTGAGGCAAAGAGGAAGGATCATCAGCAATGGGACCAATATCTGCAAGAGCAAGGTAAACAAATGAAATGGTGAATTGAGAACACACACAGAGAAGGTATGCACTTAGTATATAACAGTTCAACTAAAATAAATAAATGAAATCTATAGTTCTGACTTCAGAATTCTTCTAGTAATTTGGATAGCCTATCAGTAAAAATTAGGTTCCCTGTATTTGGGGATGTATGTGCCACCTAAAGTGATTTTTTAATCCAAGTAAATACATTTGCCAAGGAAATACATAAGATTTAACTTATTAATTTCTGCAAAAAATAAGCCACAAGTTAAGAAAGGAGTCTCTGAGAAGTCATTACATAAATAATTGTTTTAACTTGGAAAATAGTGGTATCAAATGTACATTCAGTTATGGGGTACAATATGTAAAACAGAAGGGATAAATTTCATATAAATGAAAAGCTCTAAATTTTTTATTGTTTAATAAACTTTATCCTTTGTAAATAATTTTAAATTTTAAAAAAATACTCAGTAATCACATTCTGAAAATATAAATTATGTATATGATGTTACATCCTTTATCTCATACATGCTAGTATTTCTGGCAATAGACACATGTGAAAATAGTCTGTCTACTTTTTCATGCTCTCTCAATATTACTGACCTTAAAAGCAAAAATTTTGTCTATTTCATTTTATATTAGAAACTTGCTCTAACATTTGAGTAATATTATAAATTATATATTAATAAGCATGAAATCATTCATTTATTGTTTTAAAATATTACTAAGAAAATCACCCAAAGCACAGTATGGCAAAACTAAGCTTTAGCTGTACACAAAAATAGAAAAACAAAGTAAGGATTAGTGACAAATTAGCTGTACTAACACATATGCATGCACTTATAGGTTGTTTCAGCTGAAATCACTATTTAAAAAGACTACTTCTAGTCAGCAGTCATCCATTGCTCAGTTTCTTACCAAATGGAAAAGGTGAGCTCTCAACCTGGAAAGTGCATAAATCAAGACCTACGAGACCCAAACCAAATAAAATGGATGATTACCACAGGAGCGAGAAGGATGGGAAACGCAAACAAGGCAAGATATAGCAAGACTCTAAGGCAACATGCCTTATATCTAGTGCAATCAGAGAGGCAACAGAAATAACTAACTTGCTATATCCCCCTCCTAATGTAGAAAAACCAAGGCAGATCCCCCCCAAAAAATGTTGACCTCCTTGACAATGTCAAAACACAAAACAAAAAGCCACTTCAGTTACTAGAAACAGGCTAAAGATGAAATATGTTCCACAAACATGTGCCTCTCACATGACAACAGCAATCAGCAAACAGTGCTCATCTATACCTGCATGATCGACTGATTTTGCTAGGTCATTGGAGATTATTCCAAGAATGTCATCATCTGTGTTCAAGACTTCAGAAATATCAGCTAATGGATCATCAGCAGTACCTAAATATAGCAAGTATAATTTTTAAATTTCAGTATTCTCCTAGGCATTAAACCCTAAAAGGCCCTCAGCCAACCACTTACTAAAATATTTAAGATTACAGCAGGTACCAAGGCAAGTTCTAGAATGGTAACTTAAGATTTTACTTCTGAGGTAAGGCATTTTTCATGGCAAAGGCACACATGTTTTGAACAACAAAACATTAAAAATTCAGATTATTTTATGACTGATGCATTATTAACAAAACAAAATTTAAAATAAAGACCCATAGGCAATAAAAGTGAAATAGAATGTTAAAAGAAACAAAGGAAAAAAATTTTCATTACAGAAGTGGCATCTCTAAAATGACATGTAGAAAATAAAACACAGCAGAGGTTAATAAAATATGAAAAATGCTTTGTTTTGAAATTCCTTGTCAAGCATAAGCCAGGTACCAGACTACTTCTGGCTCTGCCCTGTACCTATTACTCATTCACTCATTAAATACTTTCATATCAACAGGACTATGTCCTTGGATTATGTATCTGACTAAAACAGCAGTGATAAACACAAAGTCTGGCCCTCACAGGACTCTCTCACACATGGAGTGAGACAGTAAACAGATGACATCACTGTAACAAAAACAGAAAAAGGATCAACATAAACTATGGGGATGCTGCACTTGATAAAGTCAGGAAAGACCTTCTCAAAGAGACTTAAGCAGAGATCTAAATGAAATGAAAGGGTATTGTGCGCAAAGATGGAGAAAACACTCCAAGCAAAGGAAATGCTGCTGGAAAAGCCTTGGACACATAAGAGTTTGGCCACACAGGAGACCAGAGTGGTCAAAGTAATAATGAGAAAGAGAGGGAGGAAACCAAAACCAAAGTGGCTGGCTTTGGGATGTATTTTCAAGGTACAGTCGAACTTGGATAGTTAAAATGTGGAATGGGAGAGAATGAAAAGATGAGGATTCTAGGGCAGTTTGGCCTAATCCAGTAGGGAAATATTAAAACTCTTACTTAAGCTAGCTTTTAGTAATTATAGTAGTTAACAGTTAAAGAACTCCTGGTATTTCTAATTCACTTCAGATGCATTCTTACCTAAGAAAATAAAGTACAGGAATGGACAGAAGTATAATACTCAGATCAAAAATCACTGAGAAACACTCCTGGTAGCATTAAATATATACTTCTCAGAAAGAATTTATACAAGCCAAGTGCATGCTTGTAATCTTAAAAACTTGGGGGAAAAAAAAAAAAACTTGGGAGGCTGAAGAAGGAGGATGGCTGTGAGTTTAAAGCCAGGCTGGGCTATAAAATGAGTTCAAGGCCAGCCTGCAATACAAAGCGAGACCATCTCAAAAAAAAATCAAAATGAAAAAAAATCATACAGAACATAATTTCTCAAATTGAAAGTTAGTATGAGTTTGGTATGCCCAAATATTCAGAAAGTTCTTTAGAGGGACAAAAATTACTTAAATGATGCATTCTCTAGACAACAGTATATGTGAAAGAAATTGTGGACAATTCTTTAAGGATGTCAGTGTTTTTGTTTTAAAGTACACTACATAAATTATAACCTTTTCCGAAAGATTCTGTTTAAAAAGTATGCCACTACCTAAAGTAATATATTTTATCAACAAATCACTAAAATTTATCTGATGGGTTATAATGAAATAGTAAAAAGGACAAAAATAGAACTTACATGCATTAATCTTCCATTAAAATGGCAAACAGTAGGCCACCTAATTTAATTTAGGTTAAGTTTTGAAATGTGTGCTATTCTAGCCCTCCACCAAGTTTTGGTCTTACTATAAAATCACCATCTCTTAGGGCCGGGGATTTAGCTCAGTGGTTCTGCTGCCTGCCTCCCAAGGACCCAAGTTTGATCCCTGATACAAAAAAAAAAAAAAAAAAA